TTATTTTATCATTTTAAAGTTTGCTGTATACCTGCTCTATCTATAACTCTCTATCTAGTCTCTCTCTCACTCTCTCCCTCTATCTTCCTCTCTCTCTCTCACTCTCGCTCCCTCTCTCTCTCGCTCTCTCTCTCTCTCTCTCTCTCTCTCTCTCTCTCTCTCTCTCTCTCTCTCTCTCTCTCTCTCTCCCTCGCTCCCCCTCTCCCTCACTCTCTCTCCCTCTCTCTCTCTCTCCCTCTCTCTCGCTCCCTCTCACTCTCGCTCCCCCTCTCTCTCGCTCCCCCTCTCTCTCGCTCCCCCTCTCCCTCTCTCTCTCGCTCCCTCTCTCTCTCTATCTTTCTCTCTCTCTATCTTTCTCTCTATCTCTCTCTCCCTCTCTCTCTCTCTCTCTCAATCTCTCTCACTCACTCTCGCTCTCTCTCTCTATCTTTCTCTCTATCTATCTCTCTTTCTCTCTCCCTCACTCTCTCTCCCTCTCACTCTCTCTCTCGCTCCCTCTCTCTCAATCTCTCTCATTCTCTCTCTCTCTATCGATCTATCTATCTATCTTTCTCTATCTATCTATCATCCTATCCATCTATCAACCTATCTATCTTTCTATGTATTTATCTATTATTTGGAGATCGTGAGATGCGGTCTGGTGTGACGTAGTTTTAAAAAAACATTTTCTTTATCGTGCCAACGTTTCGATCTTTATTGAGATCATCTTCAGGCTTAGGATTTGTAAACATTGTTTAAATAATACGAATACATATAGGATGTGAAAAAAGTGAATTTATACAATGCTAGAAATTTTGGACTCAATCAAAGTATTTGTACTCACTCACTTGAAGGTGAGTGGCTACAAGGGTCTGAAGATGATCTCAATAATGATCGAAACGTTGGCACGATAAAGAAAATGTTTTTTTAAAACCTACGTCATACCAGATTTCATCTCACGATCTCCAAATAATCATTAACTAACGGTCAATGAACACCACATTTATCTACCTTGCTATCTATGAACCTTTGTATCTAGTTGTTTACGCTCTCTCTTCACCTCCTCTCTTTTCACACCCTCTCACTCGTTCTGTTTCATTGAGTAGCGGTAAGGAGATCTTACTTACATGTTTAATATTAGACCAAACTAGGTTGACACAGGGACACTTTTCGGCCAAGGCCTCGTACGTGTCCGACACGGAGAAAAAGTTGCTCGATGTGTCCCACTTACTAGAAGCATGTAATTGCTGAAGGATGTTATTCCTTGGCTCTATATAAAGAGCGAGTAGGAATTCCAATTCCCAATGAGATTTTTAGCACTTCAGCACGGCAGCCATATTTAAGTTCCTTTTAGATTTTTGTATTTTGTGTTTCCTTTTGTATATATTAAGAGTGTATTTACTAGAATGTATGTGTAGTGTGGGAGGGTCCGTAGTGAAATACTTAAGCCTCCATTGACTCTCAACTAGGTAAGTTATATGGTAAGTGTGAAGGGTGAGGGACGAATATCATTCCTTCACCGTGCTTGAGTGAGAGTGAGATTGTGTCTAGGTCTAAGAACTGTTGGACGAATAAAACCTAGATCTTTCAAATCTTCCCAATATTAGGGGTATTCAGGATCTTTGTGTTAGCCCTGTTAACTCTGTTAGGTCCTGTTAGATCGAGAAAAATGATGACGTAGACTTGTAAGAATCGGCTAGTTAGCATTGCTCGATCTAACAGGCCAGGGCCAATTCTGAGCTATTTGCCCTTCCTATTTCCCTTCTTTCTCTCTAGTGTTGCCAAAGTAAGTTATTCTGCCTCCTTGAAGAAAATATACGCTGGGAGGTGCTGGGAACACGTCCTTCATTATTTAACTATAAAATACATCGTTTCAATTACCAAAAGCTTGAAACGCCGCTTATGGTCTTTCGCTCCTTTTCCTACAAGTGGATGTATGTTGTGTATGTGTTTGGATGCAGTGTAGGTGGACAAGGGTTAACCACAAGGGGTGTCAACTCAGCTACCCCTTGGTTGGTTCATTCTTAGATTCGCCACTCACCATCAGCCTTACCAGCATGGTGTAACCCTACTGGCATCGCCTGATGGATCATCCTAGTTATGAGCTCCCTCACCACGACAAGGTGGTAAACCACGAGGAAGAAAGATGTGGAACGCTTCACGATTTTGCGTGTCATCCTTGCATAGGGGTCATGCTAATCTCCTTTGTTCCAATTTTTGTATATGCTCTGCCGAAGCGAGTAACCGTAAACTAGAAAAGGCTTAAGAGACAACTTTTCTAGTTTCGTTGCGATATATCGAAAGAAACGATGTTAGTACAATGATTTTAAATAATCCATCTTATGTGCTATCTTACATCATTGTTATTTATAATCCTCCGATGCCATTTCCCGTGCAAAAAACGACGGGAATTTAGCCTGTCGGATAGCGTGTGAAAGCGGTCGAGCCGTTTGATCAGGTCCATCAAGAAGAGTTCACGAGGGGGGACGCACTCGTAATTCGTTCATTCCGGTCGCGACCTTGTGACTTCGGCTGCCACTCTTCCTTCTGGCTTTCGAGCCAGATTCCAAAGGCGAAGAAATCAAGCAGTTTTTAAAGAAGAAAAAAATTGTATTCTTTCGGGCGATTAATTAAAACGGCGTTGCTATCTGAAAGACGGAACTAGGTTTCCTCAGATGACTTCCTGCGGAAATCGAGTTCTGAGGTGAACCGGTTCGGACCTTGAAATACTGCCCCTTCGCCGCTCTGATTACACAAATTAAACTGGGATATTTTTTTCGGCCGCAATTACACTTATCTTCTTAATCCCTTAGCAAACTGGATTTCAAATAAATAGGTAAAAATAAACCAACCAGAATCCTTTTTTAACCACCTACTTAATAATATGAACCATAAATTTATGTTGTTTTTTTCTAGTTTTAGGGCCGGCAAATTACATTGATGATCGCCAGCCCTCTCTTTCTTACCTTTGGATTTCTTTTATCTTTCTCGGATTTTAAACATACCAATTTTAGTGTTTCTCAATTGTGATATTTTATGACATAACGGTTACTAACTCTCTCTTTTCTTAATTCTTTATCCTATCGCTAGCCTCTCTGTACCTCTAGGTCTCGTCAATTGTGGATAACGACACAGAAACACAAAAAGAAAAAAACGAACGTAGTCCCGTTAGCTTTCACAACACCCCAGAGTACTCGATATTCATGGGGGTAATTAGGGATAGACCACTCCATTCACGCTAATAAATTACATTCACACACCAGAATTCGTTCACACTACCTCATAATAATCGATATTCCTCGGGCTAAGCTCCATTCACGCTAATAAGTTATATTCACACTTTCATTCTCACTACCCCAGAGTACTTGGACTAATGGGGGATAAGCCCTTCCATTCACGCAAATAAATACATTCGTTCCAATAAATAACACATATTACATACATGAAGGTGCAAAGATCTATATGGGCCTGAGGTATTGATCAGCAATTTGTGCCTGCTGATGTAAGCTGTGCATAGGTCATTCAGGATATACTTCATACATCCAAATTTAATACAATAGAGAAAAACCAAAACTTAAGATAAGAAACTATACTGCTTATGATCCTTTTGAAATATTTGTCATATTTTTATGATGTCTTATTTTGTCAACATTTTTCATCTCTAATTACATCAATATTAGATGTGGATTATTTATATTCAATTGAACAATATTTTTAATAAGATTTAAAGAAGCATGCTTTCATTCGACTTATAACTTACTAAGTTACAGCACACAATTTTGGAGTGTTTTGGTGTTTAACCGTTTATTAAAAAAGCAAAGAATCAAATAATCATTTATGAATTATCAAATCAAATGACTTCCAAAGGCAGTCCTTTTTCTAAAAATAAAATAACCAGATTGTTTAAAATGTCGCAGCTCTATTGTGTCTATCTCTAACAACTATAGCCGATTTGTTGACTAGGTTAGATTAAATATGTTGTTTTGAACTAAAATCAAACATGCCTTAACCCGAATGAATAAATATTGATCATAACACTGATATTTTTAACTTTCATGTGAGGACGAGGTTCATTTACCTCTTACCTTGTTTTGTTGTAACTTTGTTCATCTAAAATTTAATCTTACGTATAACCTTTGTGAATTTATTTAAAATGTTTCGTTTTATATACAGAAATTTTAGGTGTTAGGTGTGTGATTTTTCATTAATTTTTCTCTTTCTCCCTTCTTAGGTCTCTCTTATTTCTTGCTTACTATTTCTTCTCTCACTAACTGCTATTAGCTCAATTTATCTTATTTTCTGTCTATATTATTTGTACTACAAACCTTTTCTCATTCTCTTTCCCTTCTCTCCTTCTAATTTCATCTTAATTAGTACTTTTTCCATTCATTCTCTCTCTCTCTCTCTCTCTCTCTCTCTCTCTCTCTCTCTCTCTCTCTCTCTCTCTCTCTCTCTCTCTCCCCCCACACACACACACACACACACACACACACACACACACACTCACTCACTCACTCACTCACTCACTCGCTCTGTCTCAGCTCAGTCTATCAATCTAGTTTTATGACTTTCTATATATTTTACCTATATCTGCGAATCCTATTTATCTTGATATCCATTCATTCCCATTTTCTATTTTTTTCTAACTATTTACCTCTGTCTACCTACTTATCTTCTATCAAGTGCTGCTTGCTTTATTCTGTATGACAAAAATATTATTTTACTATACATATCTCATCTATAGCTATCTTCCTACTATACACTTATTTTTTGTTTATATACTTATCTGTTTACTTTTTTTAATAAATATGAATCAAACTTAAAGTAAGGATACTAAAAGTTTAATCTGTTACATGAAGGGTAAATCTAACCTTTAAGATGAGACGATATTACAAGATTTCTCAGTTTCATGCTAAACCTGTAGTTTGGTCGTTACTGATCATTTTGGCCTCTACCCTCGCTATCTGTCAAACTTATGTGATAATGATATTGAATTTCAAGAACATTTTCATTGTTAACAGAGATAACGAGGATGACGGCGACACCAGCGATAGAGAGCAGTGAGAAGGGCGCAGCGAAAATTTGCAGCCCTGAGGACCCGAAGCAAGAGGCGCAGCAGGACTTCGTCTCCAAATGCATAGGAGACTACGGACGATGGCAGTTCACCATCACGTTCCTCCTCTCACTTGTCAACTTTCCCTGCACTTTTCACATATTCGCACCAACTTTCGAAGCGGCCAAGACTGAATTTTGGTGTGCTCCGCCACAATCTCTGGCATTCATGTCGAGAGATTTGTGGATCAACGTGAGCCACACGACCATGATCAACATGGTATGGCATTTTTTTTTCTTTATTGATAAGATTTTTTTTCTAATTTTTATGCATTTTAGGAAGGGAAAGAAGTAATAAATCCTTGCTTTATAAAAGATATTGATTATGATTCGTTCAATTTTTCAATTTCTGAAGGCACAGATATACTTCGACCATGTACTGCATGGGAATACAACACCACCGAGTTTGGCTCTACAATTATCAGCGAAGTAAAACACTATAATTTAATTTTTTTTAACTTTGGAAATTAATATTGTCCTAACTGAAACAGTGGGATTTGGTCTGCGAGAAAGAACAATACAGCCAAATAGCAGAAATGGCGTTTCTTGTAGGTGTCGCTTTTGGAGGATTAGCTTCTGGTTTAATATCAGACAAGTAAAACAATTTTTCAATACGATATTGTACAATTGTTAATTGGATTTTGTTATAATTAAATTTTTGCTCAGGTTTGGCAGGAAATCAACTCTTTTCGTATCGTTGGTCGCCCAGTTGCTTCTAGGCACAGCGATAGCTTTCACTCCTTGGTTTTCCATTTATCTCGCACTCAGAACATTCCTCGGATTCTTCTCAGTAAGCGTTGTTTTCAGCGGATTTGTTCTATGTAAGTTATAAAATAAAATATTTTTAAAAAATCAATTTCTAACTGTTTGATCTTTTCATGAAAAGGTATGGAAATAGTCGGAGGAAAATGGTTGACTATTTCAGGTGTTTCGTATCTATTTATAAACCCGCTTGGCTACATAACAATCTCAGGGATTGCATATTACATCAAAGGATGGAGACATTTACAGTTGGTCATCACCTTGCCAGCGATAACATTTCTCATTCTAGGATGGTATGGGATAAATAAATAATATCAATTATATATATTTTTGTCCAGTTATATTTTTAATAACAATATTTTATTAAAGGATTTGCCCTGAATCTCCAAGATGGCTTCTTACAATGAGAAAAGGCGAGAAAGCACTGTCGGTTTTGGAAGATGCGGCCAGGTTCAATAAAAAAGACTTGCCTCCAAATATCGACAAGCTTATTAAACAGGTATTTTACTTAAATTGTTTTTTTCTAATCTATTTATGACACAAATCCGCAAATCACCCTCATCAAAGCAGGTACCACCCCACACACGAACTTTATGAGAGAAGCGACATGCACGGGCCAAATAGTAGTGCGATTGCTACCCTTCAGGAAAAAAAAAAAAAAAAAAAAAGCAGACTAGTTAAGCTATCAAACATAAAGTTAAACTACTCAGAAATTTGAAGAGAATCCCTCAAACATAAAGGACTGCGACTAAAAGAATCCTTCCCTACGAATTTATTTCTTCTCTTTATCGTGATGACAGTACCTGGGCTGTTTTTAATAAAGAAAAAACCTGTATATTTCTTACTCATCTGGCACCTTTACACCTCACCCAGACATAAGCAATCTCAGGCACGATAAATATATTCAACTGGACCTAGACTGTCCTCCCTCTAAACTCATTACTTCATCAGAAGTCAAATTCACCAAAAACATCCTGCGAAATATACCTTAAAAAAACCTACATATCATTCATATTCATTTGCAACACTAGTCCTGAGAAATACCTACGTTCCAATTTAATGGATGTCAATCATAAAAACTTAGCATTTCCCTATGTCATATCACCTCATCAGTTGGTTGCCGTTGACCATCCATAGAAGAGTGTGACACCCAGCTAAAAACTCAAGGGCATCCTTTCAGTCACTTATGACCTCGTCGTAAAATCCTATCTGTCCAATGGTTACATCAAGTGAGTGTTCTATAAGGCAACATCCTTAGTCTCACTCTCAATTCAGTATTACAGTACTGCTCACATATGCAGATGGCATCCTTTCAGCAGACCCAGTGGCTTTCAGGAATTTCCAGGATTCTTTCCTGTTTGGAAGAATGTTTCAAGAAATGGATTCAATGGAACAAAATCCCAGCCTTCCTCCTCTTCCTTATCACCAACTATGTTCCTCTCCCAGCAACTAATATTCTCCGACTATAGATCAACAAAATGATTGCTTAGAACAGCCTACTTGACCACAGATCAAAACACATCTGGACATATGGAATCGTGGGGTTCAACAAGGCATTCCAACCTGCAAAGAATCCAGTCGCTCCAATCCAAAATTCTATGAACCATTGCCCAAGTTCTTCACTTCACATCCAATCTTTCTATCCACACAGACCTCCAATATATGACCACAAAATCAAAAGAAGTTAATAAGAAGCCCCCATAAAACCCTAGACCCTGTTCCCAATCTCCTAACCCAACACCTTTCATCCCGAACCTCCGACAATCCTGTAAGACCCCTAAGTCCCAAGCCTGGTGATCTCCTCCCTAGTTAGGAAAATGAATAGTGTGTGTGGTGATTAGTGACTGTTAATCGATATTTATTTAGAAATTGTGACATGCGGTCTGGTGTGATGTAGGTTTCAGAAAAACATTTTCTTTATCGTGCCAATGTTTCGATCTTTATTGAGATCATCTTCAGGGCCTGGGATTTACAAACATTGTTTACATATAACAATTACATTTTGGATGTGGAAAAGTGAATTTATACAATGCAAAATATATTTTTTTATATATTCAATAATTAAAAAAAGAAAAAAAATTAATAGTGCTGTGATAGAATAATAATTTTTTCTCTTGCTCAATAGGCTATATCAAAAGTAGAAGGGGATGCACCCAAATCAGGAATCGCAGAATTGTTCAGGACGGCAAGAATGAGGAAAATCTCTTTTGGGCTCTACATCATCTGGTTTTCTGTTTACCTAGTGTACTATGGAATAGTTTTGAATTTATCAAACATGGGAGGAAATGTTTATCTTAACTCGATTATATCTGGTGAGTTTTTTTTTTTTATTTTTTGTTGTTTAACTTTAAAATAACCCACCAATCTGTTTCTTTTTAAGCTGCTGTTGAACTTCCTGCAATCGCTGTGAGCATTCTGTTTCTTTTAAAAATGGGAAGAAGGTGGCCTTTGTGCATAACAACCATTCTTTCTGGGATAGCTTGCCTCCTCACGACTGTCATACCTAAAGGTAGACCGTGTTAAATTTATGTTTTTTATCGCATTTAACTTAATTTTTTTTTTTTACAGATGAAAATGGTTATATTACATTGGCCCTGATAACTTTTGGCAGGTTTTTCATCACATCATCGAATGCCGTTATGCCGGTATTTACCGCAGAGCAGTTTCCGACGATTATGCGAAACCTTGGCGTAGGATCTTCAAACGCTCCTGCTGGAATCGCACTCATCCTCGTCCCCTACCTTTGGAATATGGTAAGCCGTTTTTATTAACACAGTACAAAATTAAAATTATAACATTTGTATCGTTCATTAAATAAAATAAAGGCTGGAATGAATATAAACATGCCGATGGGTATTTTGGGAGTTTTCGGCATCATCGGAGGAGCGTCTGTACTACTTTTGAATGAAACAGGAGGCCTGCCGGACGAGCCTTGAACATCTATTGAGGTAATATAAACAAGCTTTTCCTCAATTGAACAAAAATTAATAATTAAAAAATTTACAGTTTTAAAAGAAAATCAACTTCCCAAAGAGGGTAAAACAATAATGGATCACCATTCCAAATCAACGAATGCAATAATTTTAATTTGTGTAAATATTATTTATTTGAAGATATATCTTTTTTTTTATTAAACTGCATATAAATAAATTGGAAGCTAAAACAGGGAAAATAAATTAATCAAGGAGAGGAAAGACTGAAAGAAATCGAAAATTCGGAGAAAAATAAAATCCAATATATAATCTATATGCAGTTTTTTAAAGAAAAAAAAAAAATATGTGGTCACCTAAAATTTGAAAAAAAATCCCTTTTTTATCTGTTTTAAACAATATAAAAGTGAGTAGAAATATTTTTTTTTTAAATTGTAAATATAGAAAATGTATATAAATGTCAACCCAAAAAAAAAATTTCGAATCGACCAAATTGTATTTTTATAGGCATTTTACTATCATAATTTTGTACATAGTTGAATATAGTTTTTACTGTCAGTTTTATTTAAAATTATTGATTTTATATTGTTAGTTGTCTTTTTTTATATTTTACATGTTCCTATTCAGATTGTGCAATAAACTGAATACAACCGTCTTAAGTGTTTTACGACTATGACAGTTACTCCCGATTCATGTTTGTTGTGTCTAAAATGACACTGTCAAAACAAACAAAAATTTTAAATAATTATATGTTTGAAAACATGTTTTTCTTTATGATGATGTACATCCTTCCCTGCAACCTAAGCCAATCTATTATCATAATATTTTAAGATCAGGAAGCATATCAAATATCAATTGGGGTGCTACAGTGTTGACCTTATCAAGTAGCCGCTGTGCTTAAAAGTGTTCAAAGGAAGTATGGCCAAAGATTTTGTAGCAATAAACTAAAATAAATAAAAATAAAAAACTTACTGATTATCTACACGATTAGACATCTGGTAACACAAGGAACCCGAGTATGGTGGCCAAAAACCTTGTAAAGAACAAAAAAGTTTGGCATGTCTTAAAATACTTGGCTCTTTTTGAGCAATGGAAATGGTATACAAAAGTGCATACTATTAAAACATAATGCAATAAAACCTTTACTTTGGTTAAATTATTTATCCTGTCATGAAGTGGTAGACATTGGAACATGTCTTAAGGTATTATGTAGAACAGTAATGGATCCAAAATAGAATAAGGGCTTCAAACATAGGTAAAAGGGTTTCACCCGAACCACTTGGAACATCTCTTCTAAAGACACACAAAGATATTAATTTCTTATAGTCAGACAGTATTAAGATGGTGTGTTGGTTGTGTGGTTATGGGTGTGTATGTGGGTTCAGCTGGAAGCTAGTCAAAATCTAATACAATCCTAGGCAAAAACAATAAAACTAGATTTCCAACATAAATAAGGAAGTTAAAGATGAGATGATGTATCGACCTGCTTGTTGAACAACTTGAACAAAAGGTTCAGTGAGGTCACAACAGAAACGACAACTCTTTAAGTCTTTGCCAAGCTTTCGACGATTATCGTCATCATCAGGACCTATTTATTTTAGCAAAATATCGCAGTTAAAAACGTGTTATATCATTGAAAAAAATAAAATTACAAAAAACAATTATTTATCTTACTTTAACTAGATGAGTGTTTAAATACATCTGAGAGCAAGAAACTGCATATATAATAAGAATAATTAAAGTTAGGTGAAGCTCAGTATCTAAAACAATAAACAGTGTGGAGTTAATTAAAAACAATAAAACACTATAATACAAAAATTTAAAAATTATTTAAAGCCACTAACGTGGTCCACGTGTACTTATAGTTATGTGTAACCGAGTTAACCTATAGAACCATGTGTACTTATAGTTGTGTAACCAAGTTAACCTATAGGACAAGTGTACTTATAGTTATGTGTAACCAAGTTAAGCTATAGGACAAGTGTACTTATAGTTATGTGTAACCGAGTTAACCTATAAGACCACTGTACTTAGTTATGTGTAACCAAGGTAACCTATAGGACCACGTGTACTTATAGTTATGTGTAACCAAGGTAACCTATAGGACCACTGTACTTAGTTATGTTTAACCAAGGTAACCTATAGGGACCACATTTGTGGTTTTAAATAATTTTTGAATTTTTATATTATATTGTTTTTAATTAACTCCACACTGTTCATTGTTTTAGATACTGAGCTTCACCTATTTTAATTATTCTTATTATAGATGCAGTTTCTTGCTCTCCAGATATATTTAAACACTCATCTAGTTAAAGTAAGATAAATAATTGTTTTTTTAAATGATATAAAATGTTTCTAACTTTGATATTTTGCTAAAATAAATAATAAATAAAGAGTTGTCATTTCTGTTGTAATCTCACAGATCCTTTTGTTCAAGTTGATAAATAAGGAAAATTAATGTTAAGTATCCATGACCATCAGGCAATAGCATTATGTTCCGGTATTTTTAGTTACAACTGGCTTGAGCAACATACCTGTGCTATTTTGGAAATAAATTGTCAATTTCACAATAAATCTTTTAGGTCGCAGTGAAAGTAAGGATTAGCGGTGACCCTGAAGAAGATAAAAAAAAAATATGACCTACAATTCAGCTTGAAAGTGCCTGGAAAGGTTGGATAATATATGCAAGCATTAGTGGTAACACATCAGAAAGAGCCAACAAGAAAGCAAAAGTTGTCCTCTTGCTTTAAAGAGGGAAGAGATAATTTTAAAATATAAAGAGCAGATGGACAAAGCCATATGGCTTCTTTTACATAATACACTTTGCAACCCTAAATTCTATATATTCTCTATAAGTTGCATCCAACTGAGGACTCCTGACTGCTGAGCCAAGGAAGTCAGTCATAGTAGCTGAGGGGGTCATATTGAGCTAAGTGGAACCGGAAAACCGGAAAAACTGCCCTGGATCCCCTTTCAATATACACTGGGATATGGTTAAATATATGACAAGTTACACACCATAAATATTTATAAAAGTGAAGTACGAATGGTTAGAGTTATGTCGTATATGATATAATATTTTTTTGTGAAGCAGAGAAATTAGTTTTCCTGCAGCCTTTCATTCAACCCGTTTTTTTTCCCCTAGTTTATGTCATAAAAGCATCGCATTTTGAGGATTTCTACACATCTGACACAAATAAAATAAAAACAATTTAGTGTTTATTTACATAAATAATTAATACATATTTTGTACAAAAAGCCACCTAATGAAAATTTTTGATCACAAAAGTTTTTATTCAAATTGTTATTTTGAGCAATCTATACTCGGAAAGGTTTTTGAGTACAGCACAAGCACTTGAAAACAGCAATTTACAAACTATAAACCAAAAAATACTCCAAACACCAATTACTGATTGAAAAAAAAAAAAAATTGAACTGGGGAAATAATAAGACTACATACAAGAAGTTATATACACTCATTAGGAATTCAATTCAAACAAATCCATGAGATCGTTGAGATTCAAAATTTATCTTGGAAAGGAGTATACTGTCAAAGTGCAATTTTATAAACCGTCTGATTTTTAAAACCGGCAGATTAAAATTGCGAAAGCTAATTGCGCCGTTCTTGATTTTCGAGCGCCTTCCTCCTCTGTTTCTCCTGAAGGATCTCCTGGACCCTTTTTTTCGTCTCAAGCTGTCGCTCCATGAGCCGGCTCTTTTTCCTGCTCATCCCTCTGGACTCCTCGTTCAATTTTGGAAAGCGTATAGCATTCAGGGAACTCACTATTGTGTCCATCACTGAAATCTGAAATTTCAAATGACAAAAACGAAGAGAAAAATAAAAGGTCGGTGTTTGATTGAAAGAAAAAAAGAGAAAAGATTTAAAAAAATGAAAACAATACTCAAAAATTAGTGTTTTTTTTTTATTAGTATTATGAAAAATTTAAATTATTGTCAACAATAACATGAAGCTTTTGAATATTTTATAACAAATGGCCAACTGATGACCTATTAAATTTGTATATAAATGACATTGTACAATATAAGCTATCATTTAATTTAATTTACACAACATTCATAATCATTCAGATCATTTATTTAACACTAATCGAGGTAAAATTGTGCTTGTTGCTTATACGGAAAATACAAATGGTCAGAAAAGAAAATAGTTTAAAATAAAATTTTAATATAATATTCAAATACATCATTATTATAGTTTTATAGTTATAATTTTCCATTTTAACACTAGTGTTTGTGAACACATTTTTTTTTTTTTTTTTTAATTCAAAAACAACTGAAATAAATTAAACATCACAACGTAAGGTAATCACTGAATTGATATATCACATTTTGTCATTCAATCCATGATAGAATTACATTTTTTTAAAGAATTTGATGAATCAGGTCATTGCACTTTTAAAAATTTTTATTACATTCAAAATTAACTAGACTAGGCAGACCTTGACTTTTCACTTTAAAGATAAGTTTTCCATTGATTTTTCACAAATGTTTTGTTTAAAATTTGCCACTAATTACACAAAAAATGTAAGACCTAAATTGAAAGAGGTAATTTTCAAATTGTGAACTAATAGAGGGAAATAAAAATTGATTGTACCAACTTTGAACCTTTTTTTAAATTTAATAGAGATTCTAGAAAAGAAAAGAACCTTATGATTTACAAAAAATAAAAATAAATAAATTGAGGTTATTACATACATTATATGTTACTGTACTTGGTTAATTCATGTAAAGTCCTCTCCCCTTTCCTACAATTTAAATGTTTACTAAGTCCACATATAAATCCCTTCCCTTAATAAATAATTTAATAAATATATAATAAAGTACAACAGACTTTCACACTGTAGGGGGCAAAATTGATCGATGCTTTTATTAATATTCGTATATTTCGTCCATCTCGTCTTCCATTGCGGTTGCAAGGGTGCGAACATTGGGAAGATAAAGTTTGGAGTTGTCCCTCATTACGTTAGGCCACAATGAGTGGAAATCGCAGAACGAACCCCATTTGTTTGACGAGAGGAATTCCGGCCAGGGGTGGACGTCCTCGTCCAGTTCTTCTGTAATCGCTACAGTGTCGCAGCAGTTGAACTTAAAAGGCGCATAGACATCTTCGACCAAATTGTCCCCGAAATATATACATTTTGGTTTATCCTTTCCGGTAGTTTTCTTGAAGAATTCGTACAGTTCTTCCCAGTTGCCTTGGCTGTATACTTGATCCATGGAAAGCATCGCTTGGGTCTGAGTCTCTTGCAAGTTTTCTGTGACAAGAAAGGGGTTCTTTTGCGTGAAGAAAATCGGCTTGCGAGCGAAACAGACGACGATGTTGAAAAACTCCCGCCACTCATCGCCTATACAATTCTTAGCGGTGAAGTTCGCATAGTCAGCATTTGATCCAGTTAGGAGAAAAAGTATCTTCTTTGACTTGAGCACCCTCAGCCAATTGAGTAAATCTTTTGAACAAGGATTGATATACATCTTCGGATTCGTTTTTAACTCTTTGAAGAACGTGCTCGAAGATCCTGCAAAGTTCTCCCTCCCGAACATATAGCGTAATCCTTCGATAACATCCTGTCCGCACTTCGTGTACGTCTCTCCGCCTGAGGCGTTCACAAAATCGACACAATTGGCGAACGCTAAAGAAGCGGGCATGTCGAAGTAATCGAGAAGTAATCTATATCTGGTTTGATTCTCCGGCTCCCAAGCCTTCGTCATATCGCTTTTGAAACATTCCAAAAAATCAAACGTCTCTTTATCCCCGTAGTCTTTTTTAATGTCCTTCTCGGTCAACATTCTAGTGCCGTGGTAACCTTTCAAAACCGTACACGCTTTGCTCAGTTTCAAAACATTACCCCTGGCGAAATCCAACAGCAAGCCACGCTGGAGAAAATCGACGTCGTCTTCGTTCAACTCCTTCCTGAACGCTTCCCCCGGGTAGCCTTTACGCGCGAGGAACTCAGTGAGCATCCTATACTCCATGCGAACCAGACTTCCGATGTTGTACTCGCAAATGGTATTGTCAAGGTCGAACCCGATACAATCATAATCGAAAAGGCTAAAATCCATTCTTAAAAACTGTGTACTACTAAAACGTGTCAATGGATTTTTAACAATAAAACGCTTACATATGTTAATATTTCGTAAATAGAACTTTTTAAATAGAAGAGACATGTTTCTTTCTTTCGTTTTTTCTTTTTTTTTTCAGGGGCTTATTATATAATGAGGTCGTATATCATTGACGGTAATGACTCTCTTCCTCAGTGAACTAGATCTCTGACAAGAGTGAACAAACAAGAAAAAATCATACTTACTTCTCTGGGAATGTGGATGTAACGGACATTCCTCTCTCTTACGAAGAACAGGTCGAAGAAAAATTCATCACCTTTCGAATTCGTGAAGATCGCATCGACGAGCGTTACGTTGAGACACCTTTTAAACACATCCAGAGTAAAATTGGAAATGAAGATTTTTTTGTAATTTTGTCAATTCCATCTTTTAGATATTAAAATTACCCGTCGACTGAGTCGATTTTTCCGTTGACGGACGAGTCGTTCCTCAAATCTACGATCGTGTACTTGCCGATGAGCCCTTTGGCCAGGCAAGAGAGGCGAGTCAAGTTGAAATTCCTCTCTTGGAAAAGGCTCGTCGCTGAGATCATTTTCTCTCAAAACTGGGCCGACGAAAATAAACCGAATTGGGTCATCAACGGTGAAAAAAGGGGCTGTTCGTCAGCTTATGAAATTTCGTGACAGGAGGCTCTGTTTTTGGAAACAGTTCCGCTCACCGATCAACAGGTCGTGCTGGACGTCATCAACCGTTCACCGGTTCATTTCAAAATTAGATTCATCCTTTTACTGTTATTGTACTAGTATACAAACACAAATGACAAGAAAGAGAAACTATACAGAAAACTATTACAAAACCATGGAATGACCTTACAAAAACTACTAACATATATAACTTATATACATGCACATACATAGCTCATAACTTCAGGTGTAGGTACCAGCAGCCTGGTAGAGCCCCAGTCCCAAATTTGAACCTCAACAAAACCTCTAGACCCCAACCATCAATTTTGCATGCTGAGATCCTTCCAATATAACTATGTGACGAAGAAATAGCTGTTTATGTGACTGCATGACAGGACGTTCGCGTTTTTGGAAGTGAGCATCAATCACCAGGTTGAACTTTCTGTCATCAACTGTTCTCTGTTGCATTTCTAAATGAGATCCATCCACCTCTTGGGACTGTATTACTATATACAAACAAATCACAAGAAAGAAAAACTATTGAGAAAATTTTTATAAAAACATGATACAACCTGAGGACAACTAAGATGCAGCATTGGCAACCTATACATATATACAGCACATACCTTCCGGTATAGGTTTAATAATCCCAGCAGCCTGGCAGAGCCCCAGGTCCCAGATTTGAACCTCAACAAAACCTCTAGGCCCCAACCATCAATTTTGCATGCTGAGATCCTTCCAATATAACTCTGTGACGAAGAAATACTTCAAAAAACCGCGAAAACGAGCTGTTTATGTGATTTCGTGACAGGACGTTCGCGTTTTTGGAAGTGAGCATCGATCACCAGGTTGAATTTGCTGTCATCAACTGTTCTCTGTTGCATTTCTAAATGAGATCCATCCACCTCCTGGGACTGTATTACTATATACAAACAAATCACAAGAAAGAGAAACTCTAGAGAAAAATTTTATAAAAACATGATACAACCTGAGGACAACTAAGATGCAGCATTGGCAACCTATACATATATACAGCACATACTTTCCGGTATAGGTTTCATAAACCCAGCAGCCTGGTAGAAGCCCAGATCCCAGATTTGAACCTCAACAAAACCTCTAGGCCCCAACCATCAATTTTTCATGCTGAGATCCTTCCAATATAACTCTGTGATGAAGAAATACTTAAAAAACTGCAAAAACGAGCTGTTTATGTGATTTTGTGACAGGACGCTTTCGTTTTTGTAAGTGAGGATTGATCAGCAGGTTGAACTTAGTGTCATCAACTGTTCTCCGTTTCATTTCTAAATTAGATCCATCCTCCTCCTGGTACTGTAATACTACACACATACAAATCACAAGAAAGAGAAACTCTCGAGAAAAGTTTTATAACAACATGAAACAACCTGAGCACAACTAAGATGTAACATTGGCCATATATACAGCAATACATAGCTCATAACTTCAGGTATAGGTTTCATAAACCCAGCAGCCTGGTAGAAGCCCAGATCCCAGATTTGAAACTCAACAAAACCTCTAGGCCCAAACCACCAATTCGCATGCTAAGATCCTTCCAATATAACTTTGTGGCAAAGAAATACTTAAAAAAGTGCAAAAACGATCTGTTTATGTGATTTTGTGACAGGAAGTTCTCATTTTTGGAAGTGAGCATCGATCAGCAGGTTGAACTTGCTGTCATCAACTTTTCTCCGTTTCATTTCTAAATTAGATCCATCCTCCTCCTGGGACTGTATTACTATACACATACAAATCACAAGAAAGAGAAACTCTTGAGAAAAATATTACAAAAACATGAAACAACCTGAGGACAACACTAAGATGCAACATTGGCCTCATATACATTATATAAATGCACATACATAGCTCATAACTTCAGGTGTAGGTGTAATAAACCCAGCAGCCTGGTAGAGCCCCAGGTCCCAAATTGAACCTAGCAAAACCACTAGGCCCCAAACCATTAATTTTGCATGCTGAGATTTTTGCAATAGAACTCTCTGCCCAAGAATACTTAAAAAAGGGTGAAAACAGGCTGTTTATTAGATGTTTTGTTCTCCGTTTCATTTCTAAATTAGATTCATCCTCCTTCCTGCTATTGTATTTCTATACACTCACAAATCACAAGAAAGATAAATTCTCCAGAAAAATATAAAAACAACCTTACAGAAACCAAAATGCAGCAATGGCCACCTGTACATGCACATACCTTCAGGAAAGGTTTAATAAATCCGGCAGCCTGGTAAAGCCCCTAGCCCTAAATTTTGACCTAGCAAAACCTCCCAAACCATTAATTTGCATGTTGAGATCCTTGCAATAGAATTCTATGCCCAAGAAATGCTTTATAAAGGGTGAAAACGGGCTGTTTATGAGATTTTGTGCCAGCATGCTCTGTTTTTGGAAACGCACTGATCAACAGGTTGAACCGTCTGTCAACTTTCTCCGTTCCATTTCAAAACTAGATTTTCTTCCTGCCATTGTATTACTATACATGCACAAATTACAAGAAAGGAAACTCTACAGAAAACTGTTATAAAATCATGAAACAACCTTACAAAAACCAAAATGCAGGCCACCTATACATGCACCTTCAGGTATAGGTTTAACAAATCAAGCAACCTGGTAAAGACCCAGGTCCCATATTTGGACCTAACAAAACCTTTATGTCCCTAACGATTAATTTTTCATGATGAGATTCTTGCAATAGAACTCTGTGCACAAGAAATACATAAAAAAAGAGGTTAAAAAGTACACAGATGTACTCATAGGCAGCCAAGCACCAGTGAAGGCTTTAAAGTCCTCTACATTTAATTCAAATATATCTGGGGTGGAGCCTATAAGAGATCCTTTAAAAACTTAACTTCACAAAAATCACCGAGACCCAACACTCAAAATATGGAAATGCTGAAACGCGACTGACATACGAACCCAGTGAAGACGGGCAGACTAAAACTGATTGGCAACAGCTAAATTACAACTTTTCTTATGAAATGAACCACAATGATCAAAGAATTGGGAACACCTTTAGCTAAAAACTTACCTGGGTAAGCAGAAATCATCTTCAATGACAAAGAAAAAGCACTTTTACCAAAATAGTGATGCTTATGACTGATGATTGTTCATCTAAATAATTTTATTATATATGATATATTAATGAATTTACCTGGGAGTAAAATCTTATCCAATATGTTTCCCACTTTTAACAATACTAAATTAAGTTTTGAATATGCTAATTTGAACAAAATGATAATAGAAATTTAAAAAAAAAATAATTTCAGAAAAATAATTAATAGATATTATTTTTTGAAATATTACAATAACTAATGCCTACCCATGATGTGTGTAGGAATCTTATTGAGATTTTAATCCTTTATTTTGATAATGGTGCTTTATAAACAGTTCATGCGGGTCAAAGTGAACTACCTAAGTTGAAAAGAGACAAATTAGTTAGTGAGAAAGAAAGAAACCGATTAAAATGGAAGATCCTGTTGATATTTTGAAAAATGACATTTATGACTTAATATTCCAAATAGAAACTGGGATTTTATCAATCGATGGTAAGTAAACGAATACGTTGGATTATAAATAGTGTAAATTGATTATTTCAGATTTAGAGGTACTGGACGAATTAGGCAAAACGTTGTATGTCAGTGTCGAACTGGGCTTATATGATGTATGCGAAAAATTAATAAAATTCAACTGTGAGATTGATTCTGTCGATGAAAACGGGAGAACACCGTTGATGTCAGCGTGTCATAATGGAAATGTGAGAATCGCAGATTTACTTTTAAAAAATGGATCTAATCCAGAGCATAAAGATGAATTTGGTAATTTAAAAAAATTCAAAACCTTAAAAAAATAAATATTAATAAAAATACTGTTTTCTTAAAGGAAATACACCATTGTTATTAGCAATAGAAAATGGACATATAGAATTAGTTGAAATTTTGCTTAAAAATGTAAAAAGTGCTTATAGCGAGACCCTGTTAGGCCTGACAACACCTTTAGCTGTGGCGTCTTTTTGTGGTGAAAATGAAATCGTTGAAATACTTTTACAGCGATACCCAAATACGTTGGATCTTCCTGTTGAAAAATCAGGTAAGTTAAGTCTAAATTGATAAATAATAAAACTAATCTCAAGACTATTTGCTAGGAATGACTCCTTTAATGCTAGCGATATCAGCAGGACATGTAGAAACGACCAAACTTCTTCTTAAACGCGGAGCGAGCACAGAAGTGAAAAATTCAAACTTTCAAACTCCGTACGATATCGCTTGCGGTTTGAATATGGCCGAAATGAAAATATTACTTACGCACCTTAAAAAACCGCCCAAAATTGTAATCCCTCCGGTCGATTTGGTTAACTCTGTCGAATTTAAAATGCCGGACAGCGTGAGGCATAGTAGACATCCGTTGACGCCAAATTTGGCATTCTCTATGTCCAATCCTCTTCTGAACATACCGAGAATGGGGAGGTTGGATACAGAATCAAGGGAATTTTCAAATCATAATGTTAAAAGGTACAAAAACAATTATTTTTATGTAGATAAAAGCTATTGATTTATTTTTTCCTATTAAACTTTTTGGTATATTTTTTAAACTTATTTTAAAGGAGATCACGGTCTACTGAAAGCCAGATGAAAGTCAAAAAAAGGAAATCCGATCCTGAAGATATTTTAGAATTGATTCTGAATTATTCAAATATATCAGAGTGCATTCCAATATTCAATGAACAAGAGGTAGGTTCAAAACTATTTTAGGTGTAATTCCTAATTCTTCAATACTAGGTACTATAAACCCGTAATACTGGGGAATATGCTTTGGCGAGGACTTAGGGATAGCCAGGTTGTCACTGGGAACAGTGCTCTAACTGGGCAACTAGCTGACTATGCCCTGGGTCCTTCTAGTCATACTCGTCTGGGACGATCTCGCTGTATTAGCCAAGTCATCTACTCAGCTATGCCTATAACCAAACTAAGTTCTCGGAATTTAGATTGAGGTACACCAGACAGTCTGTTACGCCCTGACTGTTCACCTGCCCGATTTTGGGACTTCCGGTCAAAATTTTAGAAAAGTATATCATTTTCGACGTTAGGGGTCGGAAAAATTCCATTTTTTTTGTAAGGGGTATCTCTAGCTGGCAGGGACCGTTGCCGACCTAGGAGAGAATGACGGAAGCCGTGTAATAGGGTTGGACGCGTGGATCGGGAACTGAGACAGCTGAGGCCGGGCAAACAACGGACGAGGGTAAGCAGGCTAGGCGTGCGAGCGGTGAGAGACGAGAGGAAAAGGAGGAAAACCGGAGGAACGAGGGGCATCCTTTTCTTTTTCCAGTGTGGAAACGCCCGTTCTCCTCCAGGGGACAGGATACGCATCCGGGCAGGAGCTAGGAGGACAGATGTCGAGACGAGGCGCTCCGGTGAAGTCCAACGTGTGGAGACAGTTAGGTTTTTTGTGTGTTTTAAGAAATAGAAAGTGGTTTTTTGTGTTAAGAATTTTTTTTTTTGAGAGGATACTCCAATTATTGTAAATTTAATTTCGTTTGTGAGGCCTTCGTGTGATAACCCTATTGTAAATCAAATCGTAATTAATAGAATTTTGTTTCGTCTAAATTTAGATTGTTTCATTTTTTTTAAATTACTTATTTATTTGTTTTGTTTTAATTTTTTTTTTTTTTTTTTGACCCCTGGTGAATGCTGGTCTATTGACTTTAATGAGTGAGTAAGGTGAACAGTCAGATACTAACAAGGCGGCTCGTAGCGCAGGGGAATCGTATTCGTTTTAAGACTAGAAGGTCCGCGGTTCGGGTGCGTTTGGGGTCATAATTTTTTTTCTTTTTCTTTTCCCCTTTTCTTTTTAGGGATTCACTATTTTCCCTGGATCAAATAGTGTGGCGCCCGACTGTAGTATTGGTTCCCCGAGAATCCCCCCTTCTCCACTGAGCGTCAGTCAGCAAGTTACTACCAAACGTAACAAGTCTTTATAGACAGGTCTAGGACCTTATCTGTACCGACTCCCTCAACATGGTCATTACAGTCGACAGTTATCACACATAGGTCTGGATTTTAATGAAAAGGCAGGCTAGGTGACTAAGGCCTGTACCAACCTACAAACCTGAATAAATAGGCTAAAAAAGTTATAAAAAAAACATGATTAAAAGGAAATGGAAGCATCGATGGGTCGGATTGGGAGAAAAGCTCTCATTTATGACCGACAGACCATGGGCAATAAATAGCCCTAGGAGAATCAAAGAAATATCCACTTGACTAATCATAAGTCGTACGAGGTTGACATACCGACACTTACTTTTGGGCCATAGCCTGTAATCGTGTCCAGTGTGTAGAGAAATGTCGCTCAATGTGTCCCAATTAATTGAGGCTCACAGATCATTCCTTGGTTCTATATAGAGAGAGTGTAGGAATATCACCCAATGAGAATTGTGCTTGAGCACAGAAACAAATCTGAATCTCCAGTTACAATTTTTGTAGGAAACAGCTGTTTTTTTTTAATTAATTATTTTATTTAACTCTTGTGTACATACACATTATGTTTTGCTAATAAATACTGATATATAGCACACTCAAAAAGTGTGATTAACATGGCATTTGAGGGTGGGTCCTGCCCTATGGCAGTCCACACAATATTTCACTGGAGTATAATAATTTGAGATCATTAATAAATAAATTAACCTACTTTTTTGTGTTTATCTATAATCATATAACGTCAGGCACACGTTTACACTAGCACTTATTTACATTAACACATATTTACAATGTGTAGTATGATGCTTTCTTTTTAGCCGTCTTTGTTGGCGGGGTGGAGGCATATTCCCGGGAATTTGTGCAATTGCCGGATTTGGGTGGGAGTCAGCTTTGGCAAGCAGCATCGGGTATCTCTTCTTTAGTCTTCTACCGATGTCAACGATATTTCATGGTGGAGCTGTTTTCCTTACGAACCAGGGCGCGTTTGTTATTAACCGTAATACACGGTACTGCAGCGTTTGTATCCTTTTTATTTGCGAGGCGGATGCAGAACACCAAATGGGCGAGCCATAAAACGAAATTGGTTTTATTAAGCTTAGATAAAGGAGTCGCTTAAGTGGAATTTGGACAGAATTGCTAGAGAGATTTGGTTTGATATTGCGAATACGCAAGAGAATTCTCGTTACATATGAGGATATGTGGTTATTCCAGGTGAGATGTGAGTCCAAGTGCAGCCCTAAGTATTTATATGAGTCCACTTGAGGTACATTAGTTCCACCGAGTACTATATGTGAGGGCCTTGAGGTCTTCATATAAATGAAGTTAATGTGTTTGGACTTAGTTGAATTCAGCTTAACTTTCCACTTGGATGCCCAATCATCAATTTTTTGGCATTAATTCTGCCTCTTCGTTTCTGCATCACTGAGCGTGATATTTTGGGACAGTACTGCTTTGTCATCGGCAAATTGGGCTATTTCGATGTTGCTATCTGCTGGAAAGTCATGCTCGTACAGAATGTAAAGGAGGGATCCCAAAACACTTCCTTGAGGAACACCCGCTGAGATGTGTACTTCAGAGTTTGCTCCTTTACAGCTGACAAAAAATTTTCTGTCGGTCACATAAGACTTCACCAGCTGGTAGTAACTTTTTAATCTTATATAGTAGGCCCTCATGCCATACACGATCGAAGGCCTTTTCGGTATCTAAACCTAGACGATACTTTTTTCCTCATAAGTTTGTAGTATTTTATCCACTACTCTGTGGAGTTGCCATGGACAAGAATGAGATGCTCTGAATCCAAATTGTGTGTTCGGTATTACAGGACTTAAATAATTCAGAAGCTTTGGAAATATTAGTCGCTCGAGGATCTTTGATAGTGCAGACAACAAACTTAACTGGTCGGTATATCCCATTATGTTTTGGCTTTATGTATAGGTACCACTTTCCATTTTTTTTGGAAAGTATGCCGTTGTACATAGTATTTGATAGATATCTCCTCATGAGTATGTATTTATTAGATTGAATGTGAAAGAGGCTGTTTGTTCGAAGTAAAAGGACCTAAAGTATGTAAAGGGTGAAAGAGGAATATCGTATACTGCATCACCTTACTTGATTGAAATGGTAGGTAAATAGAAAATAAGGTGAACAAAGAAAGAATGAAAATGTGGGTGTCTAGGTTTAAAAACTGCATACACTGGGGGTTGAAATGACTTAGCTGTTGTCAGCCCTTAGAGTCTAACTGTGGATAAGAACGAGGTCAGACAGATTGGGTGATTCTTCCTTTTGGTCGTTTCCAATCATTTCAGTCAGATGTTATTTGTCCTCTCGCCGACATCGGTAGGCTCATATGACCGTATGAAAGCCACCTCCAAATGCGTTACAATAACTGAAGGTAGGGAGTAGCTGGAACGCTTTTGACGAAAGCAGGCCAAAATCTAAAAAGTCCAAACTACAAATCCGCATTTTTGATATTTCTTAGAACCGGAAATTAATCGTACTGTTCATGTTTTCAGATTGACTTAAAGGCATTTTTAACTTTAGATGATGAAGATTTGATAATGATTGGCATAGAGGACGAGACAACAAGAGCCAAAGTTTTAAAAGCCGTCCAACATTATAAGAGAATATTTTTAGTGTAAATCTACTTGTTTTTTATTTTTTTAATATTTTTTAAAGATTTTTAATATTTAATTGTTTTAATGATTGAAAAATGTTTTAGAATTTAAATGACAAATGAAAGAAATATTATATATTAAAATGTGATTGTAGTCAAACAAATAAATAAAAATGACTGTTTTCTTTTAATTTCTTCCGAACAAACCTAAATAAAACTTGTAAGAGGACCGCGGTGGCCATGTGGTTAGTTCTGACTTGTATTAGCCTCATTCGAGGGCCTGTTTTTTTTTTATTGATCAAAATAGGAAAAAAGTGAAGTTGTTTGAACCCTTATCCGCAACACCTAATGTGTATTTCAAGTTTAAGCCCTTCTGTATAACAGGACTTACAAACTTTTTAAACATTTTCAGGAAAAGGATGGATTAAATTAAAACAAACGTACAAAATTTTTTTGTATTTTTTTTAAATAAACAATTTCCTTGTTACAATATAGACTTTAAAATATAACAAAAATATTAAATAAATATATTAACCCACATATGTTTAGAGGTCATAACTGACTATATTAATTATTTCAATTAATTCTTCTTTTTATCTAAGGTCTTGGTTGAGATAAAACGAATAATTAATTAAATAATACTTTTTTCTTTGGAGAAAAAAAAATAGGTGAAATAAAACTAGCAAATTACAACAAGTGCTACTAACAATAATAAAAAAGTAATTAATGATTGGTCAGTCTTTTTTGAGCAAAAAAGACTTTCAGGCTTAAAAGTAGTAACCATTTTTTAATACTGTACATCGCTAACTCATCAACTCAACGGCGACTGCGATGCCCATCCCTCCACCAATGCATAAAGCGGCTACACCCCTTTTGCTATTGGTTCGCCTCAATGCGTATAAAAGCGTTATGAGAATCCTTGCACCTGCGATTAAATATATTTAGTCTTTTTAGACTCATTTGTGTAAATTTGGACTTACCAGACGCTCCGATAGGGTGTCCAAGCGCAATGGCGCCCCCTGAGACGTTGACTTTTGACGGCTTGATGCCGAGATTTTGAATCACAGCGATCGATTGAGCGGCAAAGGCTTCGTTCAGTTCAAAAAGATCTACATCATCCACTTCCCAGCCTACCTTCTCAAGCTATAGACATTTTTAAAAAACTATATTATGAAAAAAAAATTGTTAAATTGGTACTTTAATCAAATTCATGTTCTTTGCATTGTAAAGGTGACCTCGTGCCCCATGTGAATTTTTTTAAACTCACTAGCTGATCAACATTTTAACAAAAGAAAGATTTAAAATAACAGGGTTAAAATTACAGTGCTTTCTTAACAAAAGAATTGATTTTCTTTTGTAAATCTATTTTTTTCTTTTTGAGATAACCCTGTTACCTCTTTCAAAAACAAATTTCACCGGATTTATTTATAGATTTTTGATGGGGCATAAATTGCATATATTTATCAATTTTCACATTGCCACTCACTCTAAATGATTTTAATAAATATAAATAAATTTACCAACTTTTTGATGGCGTTGATAGGCCCCAAACCCATAAATTTTGGATCGATTCCGACTTGTGCAAAAGCGAGGATTTTTGCCATAGGTGTACAGCCGTATTTTTTGGCTTCGTTCAATGACATTAAAAGAACAGCTGCTGCGCCGTCGTTTATGCCTGCAGCATTACCTGCTGTGACTGTCCCATCCTAAAATAATAAATTTGTATTGTGTTTAAATTCGTTTTATTTTAAATTTATATGAGGAAAAACCTTTTTAAAAACTGGTTTCAAAGCTGCCAACTTCTCTTCAGTCGTCCCAGGTCTGGGAAATTCGTCGCTATCGACAACTTCAACACCTTTTCTCGTCTTTATTTCTATTTTGACAATTTCGTCGCGAAAATGACCATCTTTTAATGCTTCTTCGGCTTTTTTTTGAGATGCTGTTGAAAACTTGTCTTGCTCAGCCCTTGAGATACCGTGCTCTGAAGCTATATTCTCGGCTGTATATGTTAAAAAAAAAATTATAAAAAGTTTTACGAACTCGACATACACACATTTACCAGTTATCCCCATATGCACATTATCAAAGGCATCAGTGAGGCCATCGTTCAACATACTGTCGGTCAGCGTAATGTTGCCCATCCTCACCGACGACCTGATGTGCACGTAGTGAGGCGCTTGAGACATTGACTCCTGACCGCCACAGACGACAATTTTCGAATCGCCAGTCTGTATGCTTTGATATCCAAGAAATATAGCCCTAGAAAAGTCAAATAGTTTGTCATGTTACACTATCACCAAAGTGGGGCTTCCCAATTGTGGTCTGAGGTGAACTTAGAGAAAAATTAATAATTACAAAATTAAAGAATGAATAAATAAAATTGAAAAACTAATAACAATGAAAATTGAAAACGAGTTTTTTATTTTTATTTATTCATTCTATGTTTATTTTTGCACATGTAAGCAAAATAGGTAATGTAAGTGAGATGTTTGGTCGATTGGTATCCTAGGAATTTTGTTGTTGATACTAGGGTCCTTCTAGATAAAAGGCTGCTGTTTCTCGAAAATGCAATTAAGCTCTTCTCTTGCAAGTGCTCTACTTATTTGAGTCATTCTCATTGATTAGTTATTTTCTACAATATGGATCAGTGGATTGTCGGGATCTCTGAGGAAGCATGCAGTTTCTCCATCTACACAGCCAGGAAAGCACCAAATTCCAATTGATGAGGCGGAAGGAGTTACTGACAGGCCTCACATGAAGCACCTCAGCAGGATCCAGCATGCGTAAATTCTACAAGCTTCTCAACATACAAGTCAAACAGGCAATGAAGGTGAAATATCAAAAAAGCGTAAGCACCACGACAGTCGCTTAGATTTGGGATTTATAAGGCTGACGAGGGTAAAGCTCAGTGTGTCATTAGCGCGAAAGTCCTTCCAAACAGTTCAATGGTTCCGGTTAAATTGATTCTTCATTTAGAAGGTACACACCCAGAACTCTGGGGGGAAACGAACTGATTTTTTTTCATGAGGAAGTCCAGAGACTGGCTGCTTATTTTAGTTTAAAACACATGCAAAAACTGTTAATGAAAAGTAAAAGCATCTTACTTGGTAAGTTTTTGAGTGGCACAGGTAAAGCGCATACCATCGCTGAAACCCTCATAAAACGTTTGTTAACGATATTGTATTTTGATGAATGATGCTTGATGAAAAATCAGTAAAACGTATATGGTCAGAACCATTATCAAATCATACTGTCAAACGACGGATACTTGATTTATCAAATGATGTGAAAGAATCGCTGGTTTCTTGCATCGAACACAGCATTTTCTCTCCAAATCGACGACTGACATCTATTGGCTATTTTATTGGCTTTTGTCCTTTATGAATACTCAGGACGTTTCGATGTGGATCTTCTCTTGAGCAAACCACTTCCTACCAATGCAACAGGTGCCAAAATATTCCGTTTGTTGGACAATTTTTTTTTACAACTAACAAAATTCCATGTCCTAAAGACATTGATGTGGTCGAAGTAATGACTGGCCAAAGTACTGATTAATAAATTAAAAGCTAAATAGAAAGATTGTAGCAGCAGATATTGTGCTTTGGCTGTGAAACAAATACCCGTATATTTTAAGAAAGTTTTGGATGAGTCTGTTCAAATTTTTATTATATCTAGTCACAGCCATTGAAATCAAGACTTTTCACAATATTGATATGTGAAGCCCACATAATTCTCTGTTTCACCATACAGAAGTGCGTCCCATGGGAAAGCACTTTCATGATTACAGGAATTACGCAAAGTTGACATGGACCGCAATGTCAAAATGGCCATTGTAAATGTTGAGAAATATCATTTTATACTGTCGTATTTATCAGATATTTTTATGAAAGCGAATGAGATGTGTCTTTCTTTACAAGGGAAGAGTATCACAAGGTTTTCACAAGTTGTTGTTGAGAAGAAATAGGTGGAGTGTTCCTGTGTTAAATTGTTATTATAAAAAAACCAGAGAAATAATCAAGAAAATACAGCATTGTATTACAAGACCATAAATGGGTGGTCAAACCATTTTCAGTTTTATCAAACCCAAGTGACCTACTACACTACCTTCAAGTGAGTATGAATATTGGTAGATATTACTCCACCTTGAAATTTACTTTTGAGTCAGATGCTAACCCCAATTTTGGACACCGACAGTAAAACAAAAAATTTCAACCGCTCGTTGAAAAAGTAAAAAAGTTCTTCCATTTGACACAACTTACTTAGCAAATCCGTTCTTTCTATCTATACAGCCAACATAATTACATACTGAAGCTGTCTAGATGCTGAACCCGACTTCCGTCTCCAGCTATCAAAAATTAAACCCAACATATCCAAATTATGCAGGCTAAAACAACCTAGCTCTTCCTAGTAATTCATTAATAATTAATGTTTACATTATTACTTTTGAATTTGACTCGTTTTACCTACCTATTGTTTCCATTCTGTCCAATTTGATTTTTGTGTTCCGGATTTTGTAAATAAATTAAAACATATCAATCTAATGTTTTTTTACAGTTTTATCCCCTACATCACCTAAGTAGAAATGGACTAGCTAATTTATCAAACTTTACTACGTACCAATTAATTCTTTTTATCTAAGGTTTTTGGTTGAGATGAAAAATTAGTGTCATGAGCGGGATTTGAACCAACGACCTTTGGCTCAATACGCCGCTGCTCTAACCACTTGAGCCACAGTGACTTTGATCCACGAGTTATGAAGTGGTCATCGCTGAGAATCAAATCCTGATTATACAACATTTGAAAAATGGCAAAAAGAGGGAGAACTTGAACGGTTGTATGTTGAGATGAGAAGTTGGTGTCCGAGGGGATCAAAGTCACTGTGGTTAGAGGAGTGGCGTATTGAGCCAAAGACCGTGGGTTCGAATCCAACGTATGACACCAATTTTTCATCTCAACCAAAAACCTTAGAAGAAAAGAATAATTAATATGGTCAATTATGGACACTAAACAAATATGGTTTACTACATACTATAAGTATTTAAGTTTAAATACTTGAATGAGAGGGGTTCACCTTAGAGTTTGATCTGTTAACAGGGTCCACTGGCTAAAAAGTTGGGGAAGCCCTGCTCTAAAGGATGATCCATGATAATGAAGGTTTATAAATTTCAGCCCTTGGAACAATTTTTCCAAAATGGGATGTAAAACGAGGAAGTGGCGAGTTTTTTTGTTCTTTTTTAAAATTAATTATTAAAACGATAGATTACTTCATTATATGAAGTTAGAAATAAAATTTATATTAGACGAGTTGTTAAACTAATCTGAAAACTTTAGTAGCTTTGTCTAATTATATCATAACACATGTGTCTTTTTCTCCAGGAAAAAGTTTATTTATTAACATTCGGTAAAGAATTATGGCATCGATTTTTTTTTTTTAATTAGCTTAACTTTTACATACTTGAGACCTGAGCCACAAAGTTGGTTGACGGTGAAGGCCGGTACAGTATAAGGAATCCCACTGTTCATCGACGCCTGTCTGGCTGGATTTTGACCACCTCCTGCCGTCAGTGTCTTGAATAAGAAAAAACAAACAAAACACCAATAATAATAAACAAATGAATAAAACATCTCATATATTAATCATAAATATTATTATTTTTTTTTTTTTGGGGGGGGGGTTAAATTCTCACAAATTTGTTTTATTTTTGTATATTAATTATTTAACTTTATATAGTCTTTTTTTAAATTAGTTTTTTTGCTTTTTGTGCCTTACGCACACTTCTGACTTTCTGATCATATCAGTTCTTCTTGTGCCAAAGTACAGCAGAGCTGCAATTCTTTTTTTTTTTTTTTTTTTTTTTTTTTTTTTTTTAAATGAAAGTCCTTTTTTTATAATTGTACTTCAGTATTTATTTCTGTTGCTTTGCCATTATTCTTTGGATGAGGAAAGGTCCACCAAGAAATTAAGTTTTAATTTTTTGCATTTTTGTCAATAGCACAATACAGAATTGGTACTTTTTGTGCAAATGGAATTAATCAGAACAAAAGTAAATAAAGGAAGGCAACAAAACATTATTTAATCCATTATATTTAGTGGTCTATTGACCAAATTACTTTTTTTAATTAATTCAATTAATTATTCTTTTTATACAAGGTCTTGGTTGAAATGAAAGAGTTAGTAGCACTAGCGAGATTTGAACCCAGGACCTTCGGCTAAATACGGCACTGCTCTACCACTTGAGCTATCGTGACTTCGATCTACTCAGACACCAACTCTCCATCTCAACCGAAAACCATTCAAATTTTCACTCTTTTTGACATTTTTCAAATGCCGTAAAATCAGGATTCGATTCTCAGCAACTTATGAAATGGCCAAGGCGAGCTGTTAGTGAAGTGATTACTTCTTTACTTATCGTATTAGTCCATTTACGTTTAGTGGCCATAATTGACCATATTAATTATTTCAATTAATTATTCTTTTAATGTAAGGTCTTGGTTGTGGGTTCGAATCTCGCTCATGACACTGACTTTTTCATCTTGACCAAGACCTTAAGAACTATTTACATTGTGTCACTTTCGATGAACGAAGTGAATATTTTCATCCAGTTATGTGTTTTCATTCACTGCTTTTGTTAATCGCACATGTATTCACGATCTCCAAACAATCATTGGCTAACGGTCACTAAACACCACACGTTAAAGACAAATGTTGTTTTTATAAATATTTAATATAATGGAAACAGATTCTAAATATGCTGCTAAATATTTCTCTACATCTTTATATATAAAAATTATTAGTTGCAAATAATAAGAAGCCACAGTGAAATGTCACTTTCCGTACATTCTAAAATTATTGTATATATTGTATTGCACAGGTACAAATAAAAATTTAATCTTTTTAAAAAATAGTTCCTACCTAGTAAGTTGTTTTCTATGATCCGGATTTCAAGCTTATAGTGCTTCATCAGGTCGAAGGAGTTCTACAACCTGATGATGATCTATCAGATCGAAATCCGGATCATTGAAAGCAACTGACTGTGAGTAGGAACTATCTTTTTAAAAAGATTCACTCCACCTTCATCATTTCTAATAAAAATTTATTCTATTCTATTCTAAAATTTCTAAGAGTTTCACGGAGCTTATTTCCGAAGATAGCTTATACATTTCACTTTCCTTTAATTGAGGTCAAAGCAAGCACAACATACTCCATCATTTGATTTTGAGCCGTCTGTGCAGATATAGTAAGGAGATCTAAAAGACAGTTGCGTACAACTAAAAAATACAGAATTGACTGCCAAGGAGGGTATCCCAGAGTAATTGCAAAGGAATGTAACCTGAATATTTTTTTTTTGCCTTATGATCTATGCATATTAGCCATGGTGACGAATTCTTGTATGTGTTCATATTTGGGGGGGTATCGTGAAAAAAGGGCCAGAGGCGACAGTGGGAATCGAACCCACGACTGCGGCGTCTATGAGCCAAAAGTCTCTCATGCTAACCACTCGGCTACCGCGGTCCCCAACCTGAATATTCAAGCGGTATGATTCATAATCCGATTCCAATGTTGGAGACAATTGTCGTTTTTATAAATATTTGATATACTGGAAACAGATTCTAAATAAGCTTCTACGATGGGGGGCTTACTTTTCTTTTCCGAGAATTTCTTAGTAAGTATTTTACAGTTCAAAAGGGCTATTTTTTTCTTTCTGCATTTTTACCTTTACAAAAATGGATGAAATCATAAGTTGTTTGTTTTATAACGTACCTGCCCCATGATGACTTCAGAGACATCAGCAGGGTCGACTTTGGCCCTCTTAATACATTCCATGATGACAGCTTGCCCAAGGGCGCTGGCGCTGAGGCTAGAAAGCGACCCATTTAACGACCCTAAAGAAAAAATAGAGACAAATATGAGAACTAGTTCAAAATGAAAATATTCAGTGTTAGCTACACGGGTCTTCTTTACCTATGGGCGTTCTAGCTGCACTGACTATCACGATCGGCTCGGACATCCTGAAACGCTGCCTTGGTTCTCCGGTTCTTGAATGGCGAAAGGGAGAAGAGAAACCGTGCCAACCGGGGCCAATCTTCAGTCTGACGGTGTGGCCGCATTCCACTTAGTCGGATATAACACGATCCACGTGTAACTTCTCCACTCTCTCCCACCCTTGAAGCTAGCTGCTCACGGCTGCGCTCTGCACTCTGCAGTCTGCAGCCTGCACGGGCGGCTTTTCCTCCTGATACGAAAGTCTCGGTGCTGTGTGAAGTTGTGAACCGCCTCGGTATGACCGAAGAAAGCTGAAGCGATGTCCGTTTCGTCCCTGGAGTTAAGGTAAATAAATTCAACAAAATTCTGACTAAATAAGAATCAAGTTACTTCTGACTGAAAATTAATTCCAAACGGAGTTAGGTTTAGACAACAGTAATCATGCAGAAACAAACAGTAAAGCTATTATTTATTAAAGTAATAGACCACATATGATCACACACGTGTACGTTCTAAGGTGTAAGTTTTGAAAAAGTCTGAAAAATGGTCATGGTGTAACTAGGCCGGTTCTTATCTTTGCTTCTTGTCATCTTCAATGTATCTGACAGGCCAGAACTATCGGATCATCACCTTAAGATGTTACAAACCGTATCTAACTGTAATATTCTACAAATTTTAGGCCGTTTTTTTGTCGGCCATTCGCCATCTTTGTTGGCTGTTCTAGGCGGTTTCTTGTCAACCAGGATCCATCGCATCTACAGGACCAGCAGATCTCAAGAGATTACAAACTATCTCATACCATCCTGTCCTTTCTTTTCTTGCTGGTTTTAAGTATCGACATTTTGTATATTATACATATATCGACCATTCGCCATCTTTGTTCGTTGCCCTAGCCGGTTTCTTGTCAACCAGGATCTATGGCGTCTACAGGACCAGCAGATCTTGAGATTACGAACTGTCTTATACCATGATGTCCTGTCTATTCTTGCTGGCTTTAAATATCGACATTTTGTATATTATACATATATCGACCATTTGCCATCTTTGTTGGTTGTCCTAGGCGGTTTCTTGTCAACCAGGATCCATGGCGTCTACAGGACCAGCAGATCTCAAGAGATTACAAACTGTCTCATACCATCCTGTCCTGTCTATTCTTGCTGGTTTTAAGTATCGACATTTTGTATATTATACGTATATCGACCATTCGCCATCTTTGTTGGTTGCCCTAGCCGGTTTCTTGTCAACCAGGATACATGGCGTCTACAGGACCAGCAGATCTCGAGATTACGAACTGTCTCGTACCAGCTGTCCTGTCTATTCTTGCTGGCTTTAAGTATCGACATTTTGTATATTATACATATATCGACCATTCGCCATCTTTGTTGGTTGCCCTAGCCGGTTTCTTGTCAACCAGGATCCAAGGCGTCTAAAGGTCCTGTAGAATTTAAAAAACTATTAAAGATTTTCCTTTATCGTCATATTCTGCCAATTTTAGGTGGTATTTTTTTTTGTAACGACCACTCACCATCTTTATTGGTTGTCATAGGCGATTTCTTGTCAACCAGGATCCAGGGATCTGTAAAACTCAAAAAGATATTACAAATCATGCTCTATCATCATATTCTGCAATTTTAGATGGTTTTATATATCAACCACTCACCATCTTTGTTGGTTGTCATAGGCGGTTTCTTGTCAACCAGTATCCTTGGTGTCTACAGGACCAGAAGATCTCAAGAGATTACAAACTGTCTCGTACCATCCTGTTCTGTCAATTCTTGTTGGTTTTAACTGTTGACATTTCGTGTATTAGATGTGTATTGACCATTCGCCATCCTTCGCGGTTATCCTATGTGGTTTCTTGTCAACCAGAATCCAGGGCATCTACAGGATCTGTCGATCTTAATAAGATATTACAAATTGTCCTCTATCTTCATATCTGCCAATTTTAGGTGGTTTTATATATCAACCACTTGCCATCTTTGTTGGTTGTCATAGGTGGTTTCTTGTCAACCAGGATCCATGGCGTCTACAGGACCAGCAGATCTCAAGAGATTACGAACTGTCTCATACCATCCTGTTCTGTCAATTCTTGCTGGTTTTAAATATCAACGTTTCATGTATTATACGTGTATTGACCATTCGCCATCTTTCGTGGTTGTACTATGCAGTTTCTGGCTACCATGTCAATTTCAACAGATAGACCAAACCATTTGGAATGGGCTATTTCAAGATGAACCTGTAGACCTCAAGATGTCTACCTACAATCTCCAAGGTCATAATCTGCCAATTTTAGGTCAGTTTTGTATTGACCATTTGCCATCTTTATTGGTTGTCCTAGGCGGTTTCTTGTCAACCAGGATCCAGTGCATCTGCAGGACCAATAGATCTCACGAAATTACAACACGTTTTATATCATCCTGCTTTTTGATGTTTTTTGTATGAATAATGTGCCATCTTTGTTGGTTGTCCTGTGTGGTTTCTGGCAACCATGTCCATTTCAATAGATAGATCAAAACATTAGTAATGGACCATTACAACATCACAAACCTCTAGACTATAAGATCCTATTGCCAAGTTCTGTTAATTTTATCTGATTTTTTGGCATTTTGCTTTCTTGGATGGGCTGTGTAGTTCTTGTAAACTGTCATTTTTAATAGTTTCAACTCACTTAAAAATTTTATAAACGTCTCCTATAATTCTTTCTGCCAACTTTTGATAGTTTTAACTATTGACATTTTCCTCTCTTTGATGGTCGGCATTTGTGGTTTTTTTGTCAATCATTCCTTTAGGCATTTTTGTATCAATTACTCACCATCTTTGGTGGTTGTTCCGTGAAGTTTCTTGCCAATGGATCTTGTAAAACATTTAGAAAGGGCCAAACTACATGATCCTGGATCCAAGGCGTATCAGGACCTGTAGATCTCAAGAAATTACAGCCCATCTCATATCATCCTGATCAGCCAATTTTTGATGGTTTTTACTATTAATGTTCTGTTTATCTCAATATGTCATTTTTAATAGTTACATCACACTTCAAGATTTCACTAACTGTTTCATAACATCCTGTTCTGCCAATTTTTCATGGTTGGTTGTTGACTAATAACATTTTGCTTTCTTTGATGGTTTTTGTTTTTGGGTAAACATGTCCCTTTCAACGAACATGCCAAAAGGCCCAAATTAGAGAATCACCCTGTAAACCGCAAACAGATATTACAAAACCTCTCCTGTCGACAGATTTTGCCAATTTTAGGTGGTTTTTATTTATTGACCATTCACCATCTCTGGTGTTTGTCTTATGCAGTTTCTTGTCAACTTCTCCTTTTTGTAAAATCCTAAACTAAAGAATCACCAACCTTTTGTCCTGGGAAAACAGAACAAACCTTCTCATATTGTTCTGTTTTTGCCAATTTTTGCTCGTTTTAACTATCAACATGCTCACTTTGATGGTTGCATGTATTTTTTTTGGCTAATCATGTCCTTTCCAATGGACATGCCAAAACATTTGGAAAGGCCCAAACTACATGATCATCAACCTTTAGACCTCAAGAGATTACAAACTGTATCTTACGTTCTGTCAATTTTATCTGATTTTATCTATTGACATTTCGCCTTCATTGGTTGATGGGTTGTCGCTTTCTTGTCAACCATGTCCTTTTCAACAGTTCAATGGACCAGGCAAAACATTAGGAAAAGGTCAAACTACTGGATCTAGGATGCAGGGTGCCTACAGTACCTCTAGACCTCAAAAGGCCACTTTCTACTGCTATACTGATGGCATAAAAACATATACATAAACAGGAAGCTGAAGTCCTCAGGGTGTATTTGAAGCTGATTTTAAACTTATATAAATACACTACAGTTTTTCAATCTGAAATCATAGCAATTGAACAATGCGCCAGAGATATAAAAAGACTAGGAACCAGGAAGATAGTCTTGTTCTCAACAATCAGGCCTTAGCCTTATTTGAGCGGATGGAATGGTATGGAATCCCTGGTAGAAGTCAGTGACACCAATGTCTGGCATGGTTCCATGGGAATTTGGGATGTACAGGCAACGAGAAAGTGGACATGGTCAAAAAAGGTACCAATATGAATTCTCTTGCCTCCAAATCCTGTTGTGGCCTAGCCTCTAGCCACAAAAAATGAACACATCCAAAAATGGATCTTTAATGACACTAAAATTTGATGGAACAACACCCAGATGTGAAGCATATGAAGAGATTCAAAGAAGGGCCATCCACATGAGTCACAAAGGAATTCCTAGAAGATAACTGCAATAGAACTAGGATTCTGGTTGGATTCGACAAGGCACTGCCGCTTAAGAAGGCACATGTATGGGATGGAAGTATTAACTGAAGAAACACTGTGCAGATACTGCTAGGAAAAAGAGACCACAGAACACATTCTATATTTTTGAAAAACTGCATACCCACTATAACAGTTTGTGAACATTTGAAAGCGTTCCAATGGCTGTCTGTTTATGGGTGAACTCAAAGGGAAGCGCAGTAGGTTCGTGCACAATCTGCCCATGCTACTCACGGCAGTGAGGAACATTATATTGTGTGTACTGCTCTTGTAACCTAACATCACGTTGTGCAATCTCCAAAAACATGGAGTGGCCAGTGCTACTATTTTTAGAAGATCTTCAAAGTTGGAGGAAGTCATTCACAAAAAATTCTTGTATGACCGCTTAATTCTTGCAATTTTAGGTCCAACAGGAAGCCATGGTTAGCTCTCTTTTTATAGAAATTTGCTCGCCGAAAATGACAGGGCCTTCAATAATCTTCAGCCTCTTGTTTCTAATAGGCCTAATCCTTCTAATAGTGGATGAATATATATGCTGCATTAGCCACTATCTCGGATGACTTGTTCATCCTTCTACGTTCGGGTGAACAATGCGGATCACTTGCGGAGCGACTGTGTTCTCAGCCTCGCCTCGACTTGAAGTGGTTAGAGGATCATGGAGTACTACTGGTTCATGAACATAGAGGGTATGCAGGTTATAGGTTATGTAGGTGTAGATTGTTGCATCTAGGAGTGGAAATCTGCAAGAAACCTGAAGTTATGGCAAAGCATACACCCTAAAAATAGAGAAGTACAATAGATCCACTCAGGTCAAGGAGGGGACGGCCTTGGGGCCACCTCATTTATCCATAATTCTATCTATCTAGAACCAATAGATCCACTCACAAACTATGAGTTACTATAGTTTGTGTGCATGGAATTTGTTGTCTTAGGCTTGAAATTTGAATTTTGGCGGGAGGCGGGTGCGGCGCTTGGTGGGGCGCCCTTGGGGCGATGGTCCCGCAGGCCCTAGACCCGAGACCTGACGATAACCCGATTCGTTCGCATAACCGCATCCCCGTTGTCGGCCCGTGAAACGTCCTGTGCCCGTAAAACAGCCGAAAACCGCGACAAAAGGACTTTTACGGAACAGGAACCGGCCGCCGGACACAAGCGAGACCCCCCGGACCGGAATCGCACCTGTAAATCGCCACACGAAGGTCGGATCCGTAACCTTTCCACTTTCCAGACGAGTGGTGTTGTGCTTTTGGTTTTTTGGTGTTGTGAGAGGAAATGGCTGAGAAACAGGAGTCAGACGGAACGGCGATCGTTTCAGGTAAGAAGACGGATTCAATTTTATTACGGATTAACTGGGTCGCAGCTCATCGAGGGCCGGTCCTACCTCTGAAAATCGAACCCGACCCTGTCGTCAATCCGCTCGTTTCAACTCTCCGACCATCTGTTTTCCCTAACGCTTTTCAATTTTCTTCCCTGTCTCTAAACTTATTGACCAGTTGAACTTCGTTCATCGCTTTTTGTTACAACCTTATAGCTGAAGAAACTCATGGATCAAAGCCAGATATATACAACCTACATTAAATTTAACAATTAAACGTTTTTTAATAATACAAAATTATTTATTTATCAAATTAGAAAATAGAAAGTGTTCATCTACCATTATTGATTCAACAATGACATCGTCATGTCCTTCCGTTTCAAACTGGGATTTTTCTCTTGCCAAGAATTTTTTTGCCAAACCCCTTCTCTGAGACTTCAATTTTTTAATATTCGGTCCGCAATAAGACTCGAGAGGTTGTAAATATTAAACTAGTTTCATTTAAAATTAGAAACTTTGAGATCATCAATGAACATTTGTTTTTTGGTGAACCACCTTAAATATCAAATATTTTCAATTTCCAAAACGATGACGTCACACTTAAATTTTTGTCACCTTAACAAAATTTGATTTTAAACCTCCCAAATCTGAAATAACCATGCTTTCTTCGCTTTCAAATCAATTTCCATACTAGGAAATACTTGTTTCTACTATAATTATTTTTCTCAATTTACTTTGTAAATATATTTTCCCGCTGTCACTAATATTGTTATAGCTGTTGGTGGTGAAAGAATGACGTCACTGTTAAATTTTTCATTCTTCCTCCTTTGAGATTTGATTTTAATCTTTGTATCCCACAAAATTCCCTATTACAATGATTTCCTGTGTTAATTTTTTTATCTTTATCAATGAAGATCAAAGGAATAATTTCTCAAAATTAGTTTACTAAATATACTTTCAAATTTAATATTTTCTGTGATTTACTAAACAATGACGTCACTATTAAATTCTTACACTCTATCTATCTATCTATCTGTTTATCTATCTCTATCTATCTATTTATCACTGTTTGTGAAACATTTATTTACCAATAATAATGATTGATAGTCAAACTTTGATGTCACACTTCAATTTTACTCTTGTCCTTTCTTAAATATTCATTTTAATTTTTTCAACCATGCTGTTCAGTGTGGAAAAACACCTATCATCATCAACGAATATTTATGGAATTATAATTTCTTAAAATCAGTTTATAAAATATAATTCTAAATGATTTATTTACATTGATTTCTAAACAATGACGTCACTATTAAAATTTTTTCTCTTTTTTTGGGTTTCTCATTTTAAATTTGCCTCCTCATAAATTATCAATAAAAGTACTTAATTTTCTATACAGCAAACTTCATTAAAAGGTATAAATTGTTTTAAAAAGGCAAACCTTATAATGTAATATTGTAAAATAATAATATCCTTTGTTATACTTGCCTTTTAAAAATGTAGATGCTGATGATGGTGTAAATTCCCGAAACGTTCAAATAAATGTTTAAATAAGCAATTAATTTATTAAAAAAACCACTTGGAATCGTTTTTAAAAATAAAAACTTTAAAAAGACAAATTAGTCTTAAAAATGTATGTTATTAAACAACAACCAATATTAAAGAAGTTAAACAATGACGTCACTCTTGAATTGTCGCCCTCCCCTTTGCTAGGTTTTGTGAAATATAAAAAAAAGCTTATAAAATCCATATAAATTGGTCCAAATTCAGTACGTCATCTCTCAGAAGTCTTTTTAATAAATCGAGTAGACTAGGGTTGAAAACTTCATCATCATAAATGGAAATCAATCATTCCATCTAATTTCATTGGATTATGAAGCGTCTAAACACATAGGAACTGTTTAAAAAAACTACTCTTTAAAGTTGTTTTAATATATCATCTCAACTAAGATCTGTAAATTCTGTAAAACAAAGTGATAGTCGAAAAATCGAATGGAATCTTCCATCCAAGCTGTGCTGTGACGTTTTGTCATGATTCGAAAAAATCTTCCATTATGTCATTTAGTATTATTTTAATAGATGTAGACACAATACGACAGGATTTGAAACACTTGGCATAATACAAGTAGCCATATTTTTGCCTTTTGTACGGTCTCGCATTTCATAAATCTCTGATGCCTTTGCTCGGTTCGTCGTGTTGACAAGGTCGTTCTATCTCCATGTTCCTTCCGTTGTGAAGTTGTGATCCTTTCTCGAATATTTTATCTTTTGGCATTGGGACGAGTCCCAACTGGTAAAAACCAGGTAGGCACAGGTTAGTCAAGTCCAGTCAACAACAAACAGTAACAGGTAAAAGAGGTAAAGCGGTGTCGTTGATGGCCGAGGTTGCTGGGAAATTGCTCCACTCAAAGCAGTCGCAAATTACTTTTAAAAAAATTATGCAGGTGTATAATAGTGAGACTTATATCAACCAACTATGAAAGTTTAATGGGATATAATATATACGACAATTTTTAAATAATGTTCACAGTAATAGTTTCAAGGAGAGAAACCATCTTATGTTTACATTTGTGCCCATATAAGCGCTTTGATTTAGAGGATAATTCGGACCTCTATTCGGATTTGTAGTCCATTAAGAAAAAAGTTGTACGCTGGCCCGGTTTGCCAAGTAAATATGGCATTTTGCCCTAGGTTTTTAACTTCATAACGCCTTCCGCGTACTTATAAATGAGACAGTCATCGTAGATTTCCGTTTTTTTACATTTAAGTGTAAGGCTGCTCATAATCTTTGGTACGTCCACGTGGAATTCCAATTGCAAAAACGACTAGACGGAATTTGTAGTGTGTGCAGAATATGTTGAGGCAGTCAGTCGACAAAGTATAAATGCGCATAGTCTTCTTATTATATAGCACAATTCAGGCTGCGTTTATTGTTGAAACTTTATGGAAGTCAGGTGAACACAGGGAGAACTTTTCACGGTAAGAATAGTAACGGATACTCAACCAATCATTTCCAAATTCAAGCTTGAAATCTACCCATAGAAGCTTATTGAAGTTCGTTCGAACAAATTCACGTTTCGAACTTGAATGAAGCAAAAGATGATACCAAATGTGGTCTGGAAACCAATTTTTTTTATGGAATGAGCTCTTATTGGATATTCGTGCTCCAGGAAAAATCCACTTTGGCCAAATTTGGCAGACCACCTCTGGCAATCACGACAGTCGTGACCATATAGGCGATGTTTGTTTGCCTAGGACTAAGTCTCTGAATACTAAAGCAAGGGTAATCGTTATTTGCCAAAAGTAAGCATGGATAAAAAATTTGCACCGATTTTTGTAGCCAAATAAACCCCAAAAGTAGGACAATCTAAATACAACAATCTATTTTTATTGCAACGACTGGAAAAAGCAAGAGTGCCTTGCTCATGCTGAAGATGGCATAGTATAATAAGCTCTTTTGTATCTTCTCTCGTGGTTTATTTCTATACAAAATCATCTAATCATCTAAAAAACATAAATACTACTCTTTTTTTTTCAACACCGGAGGAATATCGAGTACTCGGGGGGGGGGATTAATGATATCTGGTGTCTGATTGTCATTTATTAGCGTGTGGGAGGGCATTTGCCCAACCACACCGAAGAATATCAATCAAGTACTCTGGGCCAGGGTGAACGTAATTCATTAGTAATTAAGGTTTTTAGTTGAGATAAAAAAGTCAATGGCACGAGCGGGATTCGAACCCACGATCTTCGGCTTGATACGCCGCTGCTCTACCACTTGAGCTATCGTGACCTCGATCCACTCGGACATCAACTTCCCATCTCAACCACACCTTTTTGAATTTTCCCTCCTTTTTACCATTTTTCAATAATTAAATCATTAGCGTGAATGGTGGGGCTCTATAATCACCCCGCTCGTGGAATATCGGACATTCGGGGGATTGTAAATCGCATTTATTAGCGTGAAGAGGGGGGTTTATTACCTAATCATCCCCGAGAGGAGTGTCAGTGTCAAGAACTAGGTTGGACAGTGTGAATGTAATAAAGCGAGAATAATGTGGCTCCTTTTTTAAAAAATAGTTTCTACTAACAGTAAGTTTCTATTAATGTGGCACCTTCCCCAATCCCCTCGAGGAATTTCGAGTACTTGGGTCAGTGTGAGTGAATTAGGTCTGGTAAGTGAATGTAATTTATTAGCGTGAAAATGTCGCTCCTTCACCAATCTTCAGGAGGGATATCGAGTTCTCTGTGACAGTACGAATGCTAACTAGACTACCAAGTTTCAAAAGTATATATTTTTATTATATGGTTATTTTATCCCCAACAGACGAAGCCCTGTCATAGAGAGAAGCCTGGCAATAGAAAGGGGAAACGAAAGAATCGGT